CCAAGTAGACTCACTGGTGAATTCAATCAAACGTTTAAAGAAGATTTGGAACCAATCCTTCTCAAACATTTCCAAAACAATAGAAGAGGAAGGAACACTTCTCAACTGATTCTACAAGGTTAGCATTACCCTGATATAGAAACCAGACAAAGACATTACTAAGAAGAAAAGTTGCAGAGCAATATCTCTCATGAACATAAGCGCAAACTCTTCAACAAAGTATTAGCTATTTGAATGCAATAATGTATTAAAAGTATTATATACCATGAACAAGTGGGATTTATTCCAGGTATGGAAGGGTGACCCAATATTCACCAATCAGTTACACCTAACCTCACTTTAAGAACTAGCATGTAATCTGACATTTCCACATTTATGACAGTAGTAAAAAAAAAAATCTACTATCAAACTATTTTGCACATTAACAACATATGTCTGGAGTAGCAAACACTGAAATGTGAGCCGAGTAATACTGGCTGCGATGGTGAAGGTTATGTGTCAGCTTGGCTGGGCCATGATTATCAGTGGTTTGGCAGTTATATAATGGTGTTATTTGACAGTTATGTAGTCATTCTCCATTTTGTGATTTGATATGATCATTCTCTGTTTTTGCAGAAAGTCAATTTTTACATAACAACCTGGTCTTTGGAACAAAACCAGGTCTGTAAGTGAGGAGTGAGTGTAATGTAATTCATCATTTCAATAGACAAAAGAAGAAAAATCACATGATCATATCAATAGATACAAAAAAAGCATTTGACAAAATCCAACACCTGATGATGATTTTAAAAAAATTCTCAGGAAACTAGTAATAGAGAGTGTTGAGGATTAAAGTTTGTCCCCCCAAAATATCTGTTTGAATCCTAACCCAAGAACCCTACATTTAGACGTCTAGCCTTCTACACTGTCAGAAAATAAATTTCTATTCTTTAAAATCACCCACTTATGGTATTTCTGTAACAACAGTACTAAGAAACTAAGACACAACTTGGTACCAGAAAGTAGGGTACTGCTCAAACAAATACCTACAATGTGGAAGTGGCTTCAAATTGGGTAATGGATAGAGGCTGGAGGAATTTTCTTGTGATTGATAGTAAGAGCCTAGATTGCCTTGAAGAGATTTTTGGTAGAATTATGGTTATTAAGTGTGATTCTGCTGAGAGCTCAGAAAGAATTGAGGGCTGTGTGAAAAGCTTCTATCACCATGAACAGAATATTGCTAGAAATGTGGACGTTAAATGTGCTTCTGGTGAGGTTTTGGAAGGAAATAATGAACAGGTTAGTAGACAGTGGAAGAAGGGCAACGCTTTTTATAAGTTGGCAAAGAACTTGTTTAAATCCTGTTTGAATGATTTGTCGAATGTAGAACATGTAAGTGATGAACTTGGACATTTGGCTGAAGAGATTTCTAAGCAAAATCTTGAAATGGCAGCATAGTTTCTCCTGGCTGATTACAGTAGAATGTAGGATAAAAGACACAGACTTTAAAGCGAATTGTGCAAAATGAAACCAGACTTGGAAAATTCTGTTCTACAAATTAAGGACAGGTGTCCTGGAACTTTCACAAAGGGCATGGCTACACAATTTTTTGCTAAAGAGATTAGGCCTATGAGTGATGGATCTAATCAACCACCCTAGCAGAAATCCCTTTAGCTAAGACGGGAAGAGACAGAGATAGAGTGAAATAAAGGGAAAATGCTGCTTTCTGGAATTCTACAGGAAAGAAACGGGCCAATGGAGCTACTTGGTTACAGACATATGTTGTCCTCCAAAGAAGGAATGTACCATCCCGGGACCAGTTCGTGGATTAGCACAAATATCACAGGGAGCACTCAGTGGCAGGTAAGGGTGGACAAACCATCTCCTTGGTTTCAAACAGTCAGGTCTCCACCATCATAGTTCCTAAGGGGAAGCTGCTGTTTAGGTATGCCAAGTTGAAGGGGCAGGGCCGCCATATCAGTGGGCCAGGAGAACAGAGCCACCAGAGGCTGAGGGGGTAGAGTCACCGCTCACATGGACCAGGTGAATGGGTCCACCCAAAGCCAGGGAAACTGGATTGTCATCCCAGTGGGCCTGGAATGTGGGGCTGATGCCAATAGCCAAGGGGCCTCCACCCAGAATCCAGAGAGAATGACCAATGCCCAGAGTCTAGAAAGTGTGGCCGTTGCTCAGATGGTCCTGGAAAACAGATTATTTTAAGCCTTAAGAGCTACTGAAATTTGGTCTACTGGAATGTGGACTTACTTGGTACCCATGACCCCTTCTTTACCTCCTATTTCTCCCATTTGGAATGTAAATGTCTACCTTGTGCCTGTCCCAACAGTGTACTTTGGAAGCAGATAACTTGTATTCTAGCTTTCACAGGTCCACTGATGGAAAGCAATTTTGCCCTAGAATGGAACACACCCAGAGTCATCCTTGATTATATGTTTCAGAAGATGAGAGTTTGCATTTAGAGCTGTTGCTGGAATGGGATAAGACTTTTGGGATGATATCATAGGATGAATGTGTTTTATAAGACGTGAATTTTGGAGGTCCAAGGGGTGGAATGTTATGGATTGATTGTGTCTCCCCAAAATATGTGTTGGAATCCTAACCCTTTTATCTGTGAGTGTAATCCCGTTTGGGAATAGGGGTTTCTTTGTTATGTTAATAATGCTGTGTCCTACACCTAGTCACTTCTGAGTAATATAAAGAGCAACATTGACACAAAAGCAAGCACAAATGGTGGAAAACAGATAGTATCTGATGACGATAAAGTCAGATGAAACTACAAGCCCAGAAACTCCTAGGATTGCCAGATGCTAGAAGTTGAAATAGACAAGGACCTTTCCCTATAGCTGATGCCCTGAAGTTAGACTTCTAGCCTCCTGAACTGTGAGAAAATTAATTTCTGTTCTTTAAAACCACCTACTTGTGGTATTTTTGTTACAGCAGCACTAAGAAACTAAGACAGAGGGGAACTTCCTCAACTTAATAAAGAACATCTACAAAAAACCTACAGTTAATATCATATCTAATATCTAGTAGTGAGAAAATAGATACACTCCTCCTAAGATCAGGAACAAAACAAGAATGTCCCTTCTCACCACTCCTATTCAACATCACCCTGGAAGTTATAGCTAATGCGATTAGACAAGAAAAGGTAATAAAAAAAGTATATAGATTGGGAGGGAGGAAAAAAAATTACCTTTATTCATAGATGAAATGATTATCTGTGTAGAAAATCCCAAAGAACTGATAAAACAATTCCTGGAATTAATAAGTAGTAATAGTAAGGTAGCAGACCAAGGCCTCCACCAGACTGAGTCCAGTACAGCTAGATGGTGCCTGGCTAACACCACTGACTGCTCTGACCGGAATCACAACGGAGGGTTCTGGACAGAGCTGAAGAAGGATGTAGAACAAAATTCTAACACACAAAAAAAGACCAGATTTACTGGCCTGACAGAGACTGGAGAAATGCTGAGAGTATGGCCCCCAGACACCCTTTTAGCTCAGTGGTGAAGTCACTCCTTAGGTTCACCATTCAGCTTGGGATTGGACAGCCCCATAAAACAAAACAGGACTAATGAGGCACAGCAGTCCAGGGACAAGGACTAGAAGGCAGAAGGGGACAGGAAAGCTGGTGATAGGGAACCCAAGGTTGAGTAAGGACAGTGTTGACATGTAGTGCAGTTCTTAACCATTGTCATAGGGCAATATGTGTCCTAACTGTTTAATGAGAAACTATTTTGTTCTGTAAACCTTCATCTAAAGTGAGAATAGCAGCACAACTGGAAGAACGTAATCAATGTACATGCAGAAATTTTTGAAATGGTTTTTCTTTGGCTTTGTCCATCCAAAAAAAAAAAAAAAAAAAGTCCTCCAAGGCTGAGTGTTGACATGTTGTGGGGTTGTTAACCAATGTCATAAAACAATATGTATACTAACTGTTTAATGAGAAAATATTTGTTCTGTAAACCTTCACCTAAAATACAATTAAAAAAAAAAATAGGTAGCAGGATACAAGATTAATGCACAAAAGTCAATTGATTTTCTATATGCCAGCAATGAACAACTGGAACTTGACACAACACCATTTACATTTTAAAAAAAAAAAAGTTGCCATCGAGTCGATTCCGACTTATAGCGACCCTATAGGACAGAGTAGAACTGCGCCATAGAGTTTCAGGGCAGTGAAACTATTCTATGTAATATTGTAATGGTGGACACGTAATACGCGTTTGTCAAAACCATAGGACTCTACAACACAACGAGGGAACCTTAATGAAATGTAAACTATGGATTTTAGTTAATGAATCAATATTGGTTTAACAATTATAAACTCGTACCATCAGAAAGCAAGATGTTAATAGGAGAAATACTCTGCAGGGGGTTAGAGGATACATGGGAATTCTGTGTAATATTTCTATAAACCTAAAACTGCTCTAAATAAAAAAATATTTTCAGGTTTTTTTAAAGAAGCTTCTGCTAAAGAAAGGGGGGGCGGAGGGGCAAGGAAACAAAATTTCCCCAGGAGCCTCCAGAAAGAAACACAGCCCTCCTTTTAGCCCAGTGAGACCTGTGTCGGACTTCTGACCTACAGACCTGCAAGATAACAATTTTCTTTTAAGCCACTAAGTTTGTGGTAATTTGTTACAGCAGCAATAGAAAATTAAGACATAAATTAAGTATCCTTAGTTCCTATAGAAACAATGTTACTGCAAAAATTTCCATTTCTGTCAAATTTCCCCTCTTTTTTAACAAAACACTGAAGTGATTTTTATCCCAGGTATGAATCTCAGCTCTGCTCTCCACTTGTGGGAAACTCACCCTATGTTCGGCAGAGAAAATAGAATGTGAAGACTGGTATCTGGGTACAATCCTGCAAAGGGGGGCTTTTGTGATGCTCCCAGGGGCAAAAGAAGGAGGTAAGCCATGAACCTGGGGTGAGGGGGTAGTCACTCACCATAGACCATGAGATGGAACTTCTGAATGCTTCCTCTTCCTTCAGGTAAGGTAATGCGAGCCTGGTATTCCCCACTGTCCCCAAGGGTCAGGTTCTCAATCATCAGGGTTGTCATATTGGGCACATGGACCCTCTGCTTGTACTTGTCCTGGAGACTGACCCATGTTGGAGAGTCTGTCCCACTGGAGACACACAGCATGTCTCTGTAGGCTGAGAAATCACCAAAACTCCATGTAATCTCCTTCACCTCTGCTCCTGGATCTACTCCTGGCTCCATGATCACATGAAACAAGACAGAACTTCCTTGGATTTCCTTCAAAGAAACAAAAGCTTCAGAATCCTTTGTTCCAGAACCCTTGGCCCCAGTGCTCCAGACACCTAGGACATTAGGAAACAGGAAATATGAGTGTTATCTCATGAGAACAAATGAGAAAATTATAGAACCCATCTTGATTATGAAATCCATCCAATTTACTTCCTTGATTCTAAGAAGGCTGCCTCATACAATCAATTTGAAGAAAATCTGCGATCAAATTCTGGTTCTAGTGGAGTGTATCTATGAACCGGTTACTTAAACTTGCTAACCTTTACTTTCTTTACATGCTTCATAATGATAGTATGAATTAAAACAGAGAACGGACCAAAAGCACCTAGCACAGTTTCTAGCACATACTAAGTACAAAGCTGGTATAGACAGCTTCTAAAATGGATCCTAAAGATTCCTGCTGCCTCATATTCACATCCTTTTTTAGTCCCTCCCTTTGATTGTGGGCTGCACCTAGGGACTTGCCTCTAATAAATAGAAACAACAAAACTGTTGGGATGTCACTTCCAGTATTACGATATAAAATACTGTGACTTCGTTCTTGCTCCAACACTCTCTCTCTCCTCTCTCTTTTTCTTGCTGTGATGAAGCCAGCTGTCATATTGTTAACTGCGCTATGGAAGGCCTACATGATAAGCAACTGAGGACAGCCTCTGGCCAACATCCTTTGAGGAACTGAGACCCTCAGTCCAATAGCCCACAAGAAACTGAATCCTACCAAAGGCCATGTGAGTGAGACTGGAAGCAGCTCCTTCCCCAGTTGAGCCCTGAGCTGCCCCAAACAAAACTTTGACTGCAGCCTGCGTGAGACCTTGAGCCAAAGGACTCAGCTAAACCACGCCTGGATCCCTGACCCACAGAAAATGTGAGATGATAAATGTTGCTGTTTTCAGCCTAAACTAAGTTTGAGTAATTTGTTTCACAGCAACAGATAATGAAGGTTTCTTTACTTTCCCTTTTCTCCTAGACAGTGTATTAGTCAGGATAGGCTAGGGTATGCTGTGGTAACAAACAATTACAAATACTTAGTTGATTAGAACAATGCTAGCGTATATCTTGCTCACACTACACATCCCATGAAAGATAACACAGGACGGGGATCCTGACACACATGGATGGAGGCTCCACCATCTTGTCCACAGTGTCCTCACAGCCTCCTCAGCCCCCACAGCAGGAAAAGGAGATAGGAGAATCACATATGGGGTTTTCACTGCATTATTCCAGAAGTAACATAATCTCTGCTCCTGTTTTTTGGCCGAACTAGTCACAAGGCCCTTCCTATCTGCCAAGGACTAGAAAATGTGGGTGTGGGGGTGGGGGTGCAGTGAGCAGAGGTAAAGGTGGAAGATAGACTAGTATTTGGTGAGCATCACTGTCCCTGCAACCAAGAAAGCACTTTCCTAAATATTCCCAGAGAGGGTGCCAGTCAGTCTGTCTCAGTGGCCTCTCCTGCAGAGCTCTGGCCAGTGGGCACAGCTGTCCCAGTGCCTCCTCCTTCTGAGCCCTTCCATGACCATCAGGCACAGGCCCCAGGGAATCCAAGGACCATCTGTTTTTCCTCTGGACCAGAGTAGGAAGGACCAGGGCAGTGTACCACAGAGCAACCTTGTCCTTGAAAGGAAGCTAGCTTTATTCCTTTTAACAGGTCAACCAGCTCCTGGGTTTGCCTCTGCCTGAGAGTGTAACCTGCCCCCTCTCCAAATCAGTAAATTCTTCCTCATATCAGGTCTGCCTTCCTCCAGCTGTACTTTAAACTCTCTTTTGCTCTCACTGGAAGCAGAGAATACCTCAAGACACTATTGATATGTAGAAGTATTTCAGAGCTATTTCTTGGTATTCATTTATTCACTAACTTATTATCAAGCCTCTCTTCTGGGTCAGGCCCTCATCCCAGTCCCTTCAGCTCCTCTCACAGGATTCGGGGCCCCCACACTAGGCCTCTACACCCTGCTAGCCCTACGGCTAAAGGCTTTTAGGGCCTACATTAATGGTGTCAGTGGGTCGGGGCTATGCTTGTTTCAGTCTCCAGTCATCCAGAAACAACAAATATTCTCAGTCACCAGCCTCCTCAGGGCTCCCCTTGTGTCCCTTCCTTCAACCTTCCACACCCCTCTGACAACCCAGTGCAGGAAAGTCTCATCAGGGCCTTCACCACACTGCCCTGCAGGGCACATACATCCTGGGGTGCAGGATGGACACCCTGACCAGACCCAAAAAAGGCCAACTGAGAAGAGCTGGATGAGATTGTGCTACCTGGTCCCTCTAAACAAGTCAGGATGCAAATATCATGGCTCAGCCAGCCATCAAGACACAGGGCTCAATTATCAGCAGCAGAAGGGGACAGAAGTCCACTCTATCCCTTTCTGAGCTCCCCCTTTCCCCTTTATGCATCCTTCAGCTCCTCAGTGTCTTGGGGTTACTAGTGCCTCAAAGGGGAGGAGTCCAGTCCAATCTAACTCAGTGGGCTTGGGGAAGAGGCTAGATGACACCCACTGCTAAGTGGAAGCTGCTTGTGGTGAATCTGGTACTTGAACAGAGGCCACATGTGTTCTCCTGCTTCTCTAATTGAGATGAGTGAAAGGACACTGCTCTCTTTTGGCAATTGCACCTCCACTGGGGCAGGCTACTCACTCCTCAAATCCACCCTAATTGACAGAGACTCCCAGTCAAAGTGGCCAGGGTCCTACACATTAAAGCAATATTCTCCAAGTAAATGCAGTGTTCTTGACTGCCCCCAAGGTGGAGGGGATGGGACAGAGGCTGAGGTGAGTCACCATTGGTTCCTGGCGGCCATTCCTACTAGGTTCTAAAGCACATATTCTGGGGCATATGTGCCTCTGTGTGTGTGCAGGCAGAGAGTGGGAAGACAGCACAGGTGAGCTGAACTTGTTCAGGAGCGTCTTTAAATCTTTCTAGTGGAAGACAGATGACCACACAAGAATCACAATAACCCTGAAGGAGGGTCCTGAGTATGGTGGTGGAAGCTGTCAGAGCCTCCAAGTTCTCACATATGAACAATGGGCATAATAATTACAGCTACTCATGTTGCTCCTGTATTAAATAAAGTGACACATAAAACGCACTCAACAATATTTATGTATTTAATACACATAGTTATTGCTATAATTACCACTGTTAAGGCCTACGTGTTACAGAATTCCACTTATCTGGATTTCCCCTGTTGTCTTTACTACCTGGAAAAAGAGATAGCCTGCCTACCATGAGCATGATTCACAGCCCCTACATTTCAGCATTCCCTTCACTTACTTAATCTCTGGTAGATTAATTATTGATCCTTGGGTACTGTCTTAGTTATCTAGGGCTGCTAGAACAGAAATACCACAAGTGGATGGCTTTAACAAAGAGAAATTTATTCTCTCACAGTCTAGTAGTCTAGTGGCCCGAATTCAGGGCATCAACTCCAGGGAAAGGCTTTCTCTCTGTGTTAGCTCTGGAGCGAGGTCCTTGTCATCAATCTTCCCCTGATCGAGGAGCTTCTCAGGTGCAGGGACCCTGGGTCCAAAGGACGCGCTATTCTTCTGGCTCTTGTTTCTTGGTGGTATGATGTCCCCTTGTGTCTGTGCTCGCGTCTATCTTTTATATCTCAAAAGAGATTGGCTTAAGACACAAACTAATCTTGTAGATCTCATCAATATAACTGCCGCTAATCCATCTCATTAACATTTATGGGGTTTCTTAGGGAAGTAACGGATTACAATTCAGGATCAAGAATGGCTCAGGATACGGTACTTCAGTAAGGACAGCTTCTTGGCCATGCCCACAGGCAGTCCCCTCCATGTCCCTTGGTATTTTGGCCCTTGGCTTCTTCGGTCTCTTGGGTCTCTTGGGCTGATACAGCCTCTGCCCTGCTCAGGCAAGTGTTACAAAGCTGTTTAGCTCCACCAATATGTGCCCAGAGGCACCCCACTCCACCAGCAAGCCTCCTGTCTGAAGGCGCTCAGCTTTCTGTCCTTCTGTGCCAGGAAGCCCACTGCACCATCTCTTGCCAGTCTTCTGGTTCTGCTGGTTCTGCTGCTGCTATTTCTCTGCTGCTGCTTCTCGCAGTCTCTTGCCATCTCCGGTGTTACTGCTTTGTCTCTCTCTGTCCTGGGTCTAGGAGGTTCTCAGTGCAGTGATCCTGGTCCAAAGCACATGCTCCACTCCTATCTCTTCTTTCTTAATGACAGTAAAGTCTCTCCTTTTTGCCTCTGTGATACCTCGTTTTAAGCCTAGAGTGATGCCAAAACTGACCAATCCCCCATTAGGGTTCCATATACTATATTTATACAAATATACCATGGACTGCCAAAAGAATGTATTGGAAGAAATACAGCCAGAATGCTCCTTAGAAGCAATGATGATGAGACTATGACTCACATGCTTTGGACATGTTGTCAGGACGGATCAGTCCCTGGAGAAGGATATCATTCTTGGTAAAGTAGAGGGTCAGTGAAAAAGAGGAAGACCCTCAATGAGATGGATTGACACAGTGGCTGCAACAACGAGATCAAGCATAGCAAGGATTGTGAGGATGGTGCAGGACCAGGCAGTGTTTTGTTCTGTTGTACATAGGATTGCTATGAGTTGGAACCAACTCGACAGCACCTAACAACAACAACACCCCCACAAGAGTGCCATACACATTGACATTATTGGCAAGCTGTCCAATCCCCTTGGTGGGCTACAGGCACCTTATTTGCTTCATCTCACCCGATCATTTGGTGAGAGTTACAAGATCATGGCAAGAAAGGCCATATAAAACTGATTCATGCTCTGTAGGCTACCCCTTGTCTTTTCTAGCCATGGTTCTTTCATACTAGGAGGATAACTTCACCCTCCCAATCACTGTATCAGTCCAAAACAGTCATTAACAATTGACTAATTGGTAATTCAATGGTCAAAGAGTCCTCAGGGTGAGGTTACTCAGGTACCAGCCATTCAGGTTTGCTGCAGGTATCTATCTGATCTCGTCAGGTTCTCCAAAGTTTGTCACATCTTCAACCTTTTTGACCTCTGATAAAATTTAACTGAGAGGAGATTATTCCCTTACTCCACACCTCTCTTGACATATCAACATAGCAATACCTTTAGAGGACTTTTGGTTCAGCCACTGTACTCCAGTCCAGCAGTGCCTCCCCTCTTTTCTACTCCTTTACAGTTACAGCTTCTACTATTACAGTGTTTATAATTACAATTAACCCTGTTAACAATCAACAGGCACAAATGAATCATATAATCCTATCAGCATCTTCCTGCACCCTGTCTTCCCCAGACCCATAGGAAAAGAGGAACCTATTGAATGGGGATCCTCCTTGGTTCCCCTCATTTTAAGTGTAAGCATATCCATAAAAACATGTAAGCCAGGCACTTCATGCCTTTATCTCCCCTCGTTTTAGATAGCCAATGTTTAAATTGCCCATCCCTATCAAACCAGTATTCTGAGGAGACAAGTTATGTTCCTTGGTCTGAAGAATCTTCTGTTACAGTTGGAACTTTGAGCATCTGCATCCATAAGCAAAGTCCAGTCCAGAGCAAACCATCAAACTGCAGCAATCTACACCAGCTCATGGTGTCAAACATATTTCTCTTCATTCATTCAGGTTCTGGTCAGCTCATCCCTAGCCCCTGTGGGCTAGGTCAATGGGTACCAGCCATAGGCTCAGGAATCCACACACCTCCTGGCACTTCAGACCAGCCAGTTCATTCTCTCTCTCTCTCATCTCTAGACCCTGTGGGCTAGGTCAATGGGTGCCAGTGGAACATGTCCAAACTCAGCCCATCTCTCCATTGCTGTACCGTCATCTCACCTTCCACTCATCTTGTAGCCCCAGGAGGAAACCTCAAGCGAGCACAGCAGGCTGTCTACTTGCTAGCTCCCTTTAACTTCCAGTCCTGGAAGAGGGTTCTTCTGATGGACACTGACTTCTTCTACCTCGATGCATCCAAAGGTAAACCTCTTGCTCCAAATTAAAAAACCAATACAGTCATTTTTTTTTTCCTGCAGGTCCATCCTTCAAATGCAAATTTCCGGTTCTCTCAGCTGTTCCTGGTGGGTCTGCATGTATTTTCAAATGCAAATTTCCTGACCTGAAATATTCTGAGTGGGGTTCAGATGTTCAACCAAAGCCCCCAATACTCTATACACAGGGCTACTAGATTGAATTGGGCACATTTCGGGCACATTCTAGTTCTTCTTTTAGCATATCCAATCAAGTATTGGCTGAAGGCAGAGTTACATGCTCTCTTATCTATAATACCCAATATTCCTTTCCATCATACATTTAGGTTTGTTTTACAACACTAGGTAGGAGAAGAATTCAGTATCTGTCTTAGGCTGGGTTCTCTAAAGAAGAAAAACCGGTAAAACATATAAATAGATATTAAAAAAACCCATTGCTACTGAGTCAATTCTGACTCATAGCAACCCTATAGGACAGAGTAGAACTGCCCCATAGAGTTTCCAAGGAGCACCTGATGGATTAGAACTGCCAACGTTTTGGTTAGCAGCCATAGCACTTAACCACTATGCCACCAGGGTTTCCATAAGTATATATATACAGAGAGATTTATATCAAGAAAATGGCTCACATGGTTGTGGAGGCTGGGACATCCCAAGTCTGTGGGTCAGGATTGAGGCTTCTCCTGGTAGCCACAGGGGCTGGTGAACCCAAGATCGGCAGGTCAGAGAGCAGGGCTGTTGCCCACAGGCTGGGAAGATTGATGAATCCCAAGATCAGCAGGCAAGACTGGAGGTAAGCTGCTAGCATAAGTCCCAAGAACCAGAAGTCAGACAAACAGGAGCCAGCTGCAGGATCCAGTGCAAGCAAAAGCCCAACAGCCTTGCTGGAATGTCCACTTATATTCGATGCAGGCCACAAGCCCAAGGAAACACCCTTTCAACTGATTGGCTACTCACAGCATATCCCATCATGGAGGGAATCACAATATATCAAATCTCATCATGGAAGTGATCACAACATCATCCTACTGCCAAAACACTGAGAATCACGGCCCAGCCAAATCGACACAAAACCTTAACCACCACAGTATCCATAGTATATTCAGGTAAACACATAACCTTTTAAGACATTCCAGTTTCATCTTCTCCACACTTTGCCTATCTTCCCATTCATATGTATATGGCCTTGGGCCTCTGGCTGGGTGGAACAAGACCATGGCCCCCTATCAATCATCTTGCTTAACTTGCCAGGCTTTTGCACCAAACCACTCCAGATGCAGCTTTTCTCCCCTCAGCACAGCATAACATCTCTCACTTTCCTGTCAGCCATTACGGATAACAACAACCGAAATAACCATCTAAGAATCGAAAGTTTCACTTCCCACGCACTTTCATTCTTTCTCTTCCCAAGTATCACGCTTCCATGAGTCTGGAGCCATTGCAGCAAATCCCACTTCTGACTCTAACTGTAAAAATGGCACAGTGGCATCATCATCCGGCCTCTTCCTCTAACTTCACCAGGTGGGAGGAGAATCATTATCGATATCAACAGCCTAAGGCTGATTCCTATGAGGTAGAGGTCAGACATACCTCCTCTCTCCAACCTTTTTATCAATTCTGACACCAGCCGTCCCTCACACAGTGCTCTCTACTTCTCTGGTGGGTTGGATAACTCATTGCAATGGCCACACAGAATTCACAGACCATTCTCAGAGTTATGGAGTTTATTAAGGAAGTATCAGATTACAATTTAGGATCAGGAATGACTCAGGATACAGTTCTTCGGTCAGAATAGCTTCTCAGCTGTGCCCGCAAGCAGGGCTCTCCCTGACCTTCCAAATCTCAGCCCTCAGCCCCTCGTCCCCTCATGCCTCTTGGGCTTTTTGGGCCGTCTCAGCTTTTGCCCTGTTCAAGCAAGTGTTGCAAACTCTTTAGCTCCACCATAAGTGTCCAGAGGCACCCTACTCCACTAGCAAGCCTCCTGCCCAAAGGCACTCCGCTTTCTCTCTCTTGGGCCAGGAAGCATGTCGCACCATCTCCTTCCGTTCTCCTGGTTGTGCTGCCTTTGCTGTCTCCATTGCTCTGCTGCTGCTTCTCATCTCTCACCATCTCTAGTGTTACAGCTCTCTGTCTCTGTCTCCTGGGTCTAGGAGGTTCTCAGTACAGGGATCCTGGGTCCAAAGGACAAGCTCCACTCCTAGCTCTTCTTTCTTGGTGGCAGTGAAGTATCTCCTTTCTGCCTCTGGGATGGCTCATTTTAAGCCTAGAGGGATGGCAAAACTGATAAATTTCCCCATACGCCTTATTTGCATGGTCCCAACCCCACAAGAGTGCCATGCATCTTATTTGCATTATTAGCAAGTTGTCCAATCCCCTTGGTGGACCACAAGCACTTTGTTTGCATAGTCCCATCCAATCGTTTGGTGGGAATTACAAGACCATCGTGACAAAGGCCAAATAAAATCGATCATCGTACCGCAAACATTCTATTGGTTCCATAATTCATTAATGAAATTAAAACCTTGACACATGCTCATTTTTAATTCATATATAAGTCAAGATTTTACCTGTTTTTAAAAAGTATCTTTTAATACCTCAGTCAGTCATCACATTCAGTTTTAATGTAATGTTTAAATATACACTTTCATTTTTGGCACAACATGGACACTAACCATAAGTTATTTAATCTGGACCTCAGAGAAACAGCCATTTGTCTGAACAGGGGATATGTGGCAATAGGATTTAGTGAGAGAGACAGTATTTCAGTCTCTAACATGGCACTTTCCTAAGGCATTTTCACAGGTAATTCTGGCCAAAATAATGTTTGTCTTACTCTCCACCATATTGGTAAGAAAGGGTCACCACCTGGGGGTCAGCAAGAAAGAAACTAGTATTTTCCCAGCTGGGGGCTGGCTGCAAAACAGACTGGAACTGAAAATCTCCCCATGGTATTGGTTTATCTACTGCTGAAGGGCACAGCTGTGGCATACTTTCCTGGGTGTGGTTTGCACACCAAGTCTCCACACACAGTGAGGGAAAGAGATGATGTCCTCCAGCCGGTGACCTTGAGGGCACTGGCCTCTGAGAGACTCAAGGCAGAGCAGAGGCAGAGAAAACAGAGAACCAGGTGTGATTCCAGGAGTCCTTGAATAGTGCAAGTGGTTAAGCATTTAACTACTAACTGAAAGGTTGGAGGCTCAAACTCACCCAAAGTTGCTTCAGAAGAAAAGATTGGCGATGTACTTCCAAAAAATCAGCCACTGGAAAATCCCTCTCTGACACACATGTTTCTCCATGAGCCAGAATGTGCCTGAAGACAACTGTTTGGTTGTTTTAGTTGGGCTTGATGCCAAAGGCGAGGTTTGAAGAGGATTGCCTGTTTCCCTTAGAAATCAAGCCCACGCCTGTTTTCAGCTTAGGAGGGCTGAAGAAGGCAGTCCCCAAGAATGCAAGAAGGTCTTCTCTTTCTAAGTGTCCTTAGCAGGCTTATCAGCTGGTTCCTGTCAAGCCAAGGAAATAGGGTGGGACAGGATGGAAGAGAAAGCAGAGGCCTTGAAGTAGCCATGGGAGAATCGTGTCTGGGTAGAGACACAGAATCACAGGATGTCATAGCTGGAGGAGCCTGAGAGGTGATCTGTCCAAGCCCCTCATTTTACAGAGGAGAAAACTGAGGCTTCATAGGGGAGTGAACTTGCCCTGGATCCAGCAGACACAGAGCCAGACCGTGGTTTCCTTTCTCCTAGCATAGTGCTTTGTTTCCTGCATGAAGGAGTCCATGGGCTCTTCCAATCTTTCCCTGCTCTCCCCACCAGTTCAGCCCCTCTCTGCTCTGTTGTCTTTTCTCACCACAATAAGAGCAATTCCTGGAGTCTCATCCTTCCAACTTCCCTCTCCTGGGAAAGGG